TTTCAATCAATTTATAAGAAAATTCCTTTAGTCTTTGATTGTTTAAAATCAAACAAAATCCAATTAATTGAAGCAGAAAAAGAGATATATTCATACGCTGCAGTTCCACCAAAAATATAGTCCCTGCTAGACTTCAAACCCAAATTATCATTTCAATTATGTTCAGTTATGAGAAGGAAAGACAAGTACATGTATTATATTTTAAATCCCTTACAGCTTAAGTCGACGTTAGAATATAATCAAATATACTTTGAATATTTCATTCAGTCAGAAACAAAACAACAATTCGTCCTTGATACTAATCTTTTTAGATTACTGTAAGATAAGCAATAAGCGGAAATGAGCAATATTTTTTACTTCTAAATATTTAAACTCTAGAGGAGACACTCTTACCAATGCGCTGCGCGGGCGATAAATTCAGTTTTCATATATACATATAGTACAGGGACTTTTCTTTGGTAATTCAATTTCTCAAGTAAGGTATCGCTATATGATCCTCTGTTGACGTGCAGTGTCTATCTTCATTTAAGTTTTCACATTCATTTTCCTTAGAACCAAAGGGCCAATACAACAAACTTGCTAAAGTCATCCTTACTTTGGATATCGAAATTCAATGTATACTAGTAGCTAGTAAATGTTGTCCCTTTTCAAAGGGATATGATTAAAATAATTCTCTATTAATGTCTCGCTTATAATGCTGCGTCAATTCTCTTGTACTTGGAATTAACAAGTTCGTATCATAGTTTAGCATGCTTATCAGCAAATGAATATACAGTGTAATACCTATTTGAAAATAAGTTTATAACAGTCCAAATATAACCTAAATCTAATAACTAATCTTTACAACTGTCGATAATACCCTAAATCTAATGTTTCAGGTTGCACGAAGACTCTGGAATGCCTGAATCAGAAAACACACGTTGCGTTTTATGCGTTTTATTCTAACAATTTTAAAGCTCTACCCACTGGGACGACTTTAATATTTGACTCAGTGGAGACAAACCTTAACAGTGGATACAATAAAATAACTGGAATATTCACTGCTCCGACTTCTGGCGTCTATGCCTTCACTTGGACATTGCACGCAGCGTCATTACACGTCGCTGGTTCATCTGGGAGCAACTATGGTGAAATGAATGCGTCGATAAAACTAAATGGAGTCACAAAAGGTGCGATTGTTGCCGATACTGAAACACAGTACGATAATGCTGCTGGCACAGGATTTGTTATTTTGAATCTCAAAGCTGGAGATGAAATAAAAATTGTGTCTGGGTATACAGGCCAAGGAGCTATGTACAGCACAAATCAAAATGGGCGAACATCATTTTCAGGATTTCAGATTACATAACTTTTCTCTAACTATTATTTTCATTAAGTTAGGTATTGATCACTGTGGATATTGATTGCTCAATTTGACTAAAGCATTAACTACTTTTCATTTCTTTGATTAAAAAAATCAAATAATCCTTTCATGTTTTTAAATATTTTTTTCAACTAGACATGAAACCAACTACGCATGGTTTAAGGTGCATTTGTTTTGGAAGATGCGAATGAATTGGTCAGATATTCAAAAGATTTTAATCTTTTTTTTTAATCTTTTAACGAAAAGCAAAGTAATATTTATTTTAAAGGTTTTTATTTTGTAGTGTTTTTTGAGATGTATATTATATGCTAAAATTATACAGACGATGTGCATATTGCATCACTTTTAAGTTTAGTGCCAAAAACGATATTGCACAAGAACTTAATCATAGTGTATCTGTATTTGAATTGTTTAGCATAGTCGCTACAAAGATGACAAAATTTTTGTTTATACACACCGCAGGTTCAATCGGATCACGTTCGCCCTTTTCCGTAACCGATGAAAGGTTACGGAAATGGCCGAGTAGTTACGCCTTTTGACTGCGGATTTTGATTTGTCATCTGCCAAATTATTCTAATGTAAAGCTGTCACGACAGCTTAAGTCGGTAGAGCGCTCGGAAAGTCTTGAGTTAGAATTATTTTCACTATTGAATGTATATTATATATTACATGTTGTAGCTGTTCAACTGAATACAATATCTAAGAATAAAAATACACTAGAGATTCTTGAAACAAATTCAGATTAATTAACACGAAATGACATGATCTGTCAAAAGCAAAACAGGCATTTTTTTTCCTAAATTCAAATCACAAGTCGACGATGCAAATCAAAATTTTAGGAAATACAGGTACTCCATTTTATAGATATATAAATTTGAACATACAATTATAAATATTTTGATCAGTACTGTATTTAAAAAAATTGCAATGACGTTTACGAGAACATCTGTATGCATTAATGATCATTTAGGAATGATTTCTTTGAAAAAAGATCATTTTTATTGTGGAGAGTCAAATGCAAAGAGCAAATAACACCTTTGAGGTGTATATTGATCAAACGAAAGATAATTAGACTACAAACACTTCAACTGAAGGGTTTGTTTATTTTCCTATCAAATTATTCCTAAATTACGTTGTTTAATTGCCTGCATAATTATCTTATTGTTTTATTTTTCTTTCTTCACCTGTTCATACCATTTGGACATGCTATCAAACCTGAAATTGTTACTGATGATCCTTGCTTTGAAAATCCGTGCTTTTCTGACGTTCTGGAACGAGTATTTGTACAGAATTTAATTTCACCGAAATTTACTGACTAAGACAAATAAGTTTGTCTCGCTTAAGGTTCATTGCTACTCTGATAAGAGAGATAACTCTTAGTGACAAAAATTTCTATTATTTCTTTAAAGATTTGCAAAGTTGGAGTGTCTTTTTGTCAAAGCAAGCTATGCTATAATTATTTGTATTTTACTTAACAAATACATTTCTTCTGGAAAATCATTACATGTAAGGTTCAAGCAACATTTCATATAAGTGAGCAGAGGGTTTGTAACCCTTAAAGAACAGTAGGACATTTTTCAGGTGTTTCATCATATTCTAGGTAAAACAGAAGTGGGCAAGGGAAGGTCTTGGACATTAAAGTAAGTTGTGACGGTCTTCATTACACTCTAGGATGTAGAGCAATTGACAGGGTAACTCATTGCAGAGAATGTGAGATGGAGTAGTGTAAAAGAATTTGAAAAACACAAAATTTTATATGAAAAGTGTTCCATGATCAGTGATTGCATAAAGTAATTGGATATAATTATGGTACCCGATGAGTAAAAAAAAATCCTAGCATATGTGAACAATATCTGTAAATTCTAATTTGTTAATAGAATATACTTTTTTTTTTTTTTACACTTTCTTAAGGTATTTTGAGATGGATATTATGAAAACTGGTTTTAGACTACTTTGGGACATCATTTTAGTTAACTTGGCAATGATGGCTTTCACAGCCCGAAAGCATTGGCATCCTGTATGGCTGCAACCGCTATTTCCTTACCGTCAATTTTAAGAGTAATTTCTTCCCTTTGACATTTTTCTTTGCCCCATTTCATGTCAAATCTTTATGCAAAGTTCTCAATTTTTTTTTTTACATTTTACTATAAAATTACAAATTTTCATTGGGGGTTTAATTTTCTATGTTTTCGAGGTATGAATTGATCCACGAATTTATGTCTACTACGAAATGTAAAATTTTATATACATAACTACTCAGCAATTCTCCATTACCGATTCAAATCCCCACGAATCAATAGTTGTTACTCGAACCACGAATATTGACCCCCTGAAAATATGGGATTTTACATTATTTTAATCAGATAACCACAAAGCAATTTTTTCAAATATCTTTCATGCTGTCACTGTCGTTGAAAAGCTCCCCCTGCTGTATGCCAGACAAAAAGTTTAAAAGAAATAAAAGACCAACAGCAACAAATTTTATAAATGGACAAAACATGTTAAGAATCCCAATTATAAATTTATGGTTGATGTCGTAATTAATTTATGCCCCTCAGCTCATGTGTTCAGGGCTGGAATGAGGAGGCACAAAACCTCTGCAATCAGAACAGCACTTCTTCATTCGCCTCGTTATTTTTTTGATTCTCCATGCAATTTTCTATTGAGACATAAGAGATGTTTTTTTCGCATCCAGTACTAGTGTCCTTCGGAAATTATATGCACATTTATTTCCAGTAATATACATAGAGGATATTTAATGTTTTGTAGTTGAATATAGAATTTATTTTATGAGTGGGACAGGATTTTTGATATTTTCACGAGTGCGAATCACGAGTGAAAATATAAAAAAAACCTGTCTCACGAGTGAAATAAATTTCATATTCAACAACAAAAACATTGAATTTTCTGTTTATTACATTTTTAAGAATTTCTTTGATTTTTCCTATGCCTCTGTTTTTTTTTTTTGTATTACAGGCACAGGCAACATGGCGTCATAGTTGAGCGGTTGAGACGTCATAGCTAAGTGAGATGAAAACATTGTAGACATGGATTTATCAACATATTTTGGTTTTTTAACAGTTTTATTCTCTGTCAGAATGGTTTAATTATGTATTTCTATCTTATATCAGGTCAAAGAAGATTTGTTTTACAACACTCTCTTTTATCGCACTTTTGATATTTGTCACACTGTGCCGGGATATCATTTTGATATCCTTTCACACTGTGACAGGATATCATTTTTATTCAATGAATAAAGTACAGTATTTCACTGGTAAAAATGTAATAAATGTAAATAATTAACAACACATATCTGTAAATTTTGATTATATATATTTGATTCAGTTCTAGATAACATGATTAATTGAAGGATTATTCTTGGCATCAAAATCTATAGCACATTTATTTATTTCTTACTTTCTGTCTATCTGATTCATAGGTTACATGTAACATTTACAAAAATTTGGGAAAAAATGCTTCGTTCTACGATACACAAATTCCTTGACAGGCGTATTTCCTTATAATATGATATGATATTCAAAAAAGAGTGTAAAAATTAATGTTTTTTAAATGTGTTATGGAATTGATGTATATTTAGCGAAGAAAATTAAAATAAAAATAGAAACAATTTCTAACTATCTAATATGTTAAAAAATCCCGAAGACATCAGACAGTCTTACAAGGATTATTTTCAAAACAGACGTGAAAATAAATAAAATCACAATTAAGTCTTTCATAAAACCACACTGAAACATTGACAAGATTCTAGTCAGGTTAACATTGGTATGACCCTGGCGTCCCCCGGTATGGTAACACCACACTCGATCCACTTTTCATACCACTTACCGGTCTGATGTGGTCTAAATCCTATTGTTACGAAAGAAAAAGTATCTCCTCTATTTCTTCGATAGAAACCTTTAAAATAAATAGTTGATAATTACTGTGATTACTCTTTATTGATATAATTATTTGTTTTATAGGCGTCGGAACCGGGGAAGGGGACACTTTTTTGGCAAAGATAGGCATAATGTAGGCATTGAACATTGGGGGGTAGGTCTAGCCCCCCACCCCCACCAACTTTCCACATACATGTTGCGGTTTGGGTAAAAAAAATGGGGTAAATAGTAGTGTTTGGGAAAAAAATTGGTACTGAAGGACGTTTGAACGACCCCAACCCATCCCCACGAAACGACATTTTCGTGTTTGGACAGTGAACATATTTTCCGTATTTATTGGTTTGTGTTGCTTCTAAATTTTTTTGTAGATAAGATTTTTTCTCTCACACTTAGTTCCTTTCAATCTGCTTCCGACGCCAATGTGTTAAATTCATATGTGAAGCTGATTATCATGCTGTAAATTTTGAATTTACCGGGTGGTAGTATATACGAAATTGGATAAACAATTGGAATATCGTATCCATCGTATCGTTGTTATAATTCGTGAAATACTCATCAGATTTTTATTTGTAGTGGTAAACTCATCACCGCAAACAACGGCCAAAATGTACGCTCCTCTTCCATTTGGCCGTGGTTGAACGAAGAGAGAATTCTTCGTAGCTCATTAAAATATTGACCAATGCGAGCGAGTAAAGCATAGTCGGATGATGAACTTTATCGCGACCTTTCAATATCCAATCGCTGTATAGGAAAAAGTTCTAGTTTACTGTTGAAGTCAGTTGTTGATTTCGATTGCGATGGAAACAAAACTTGCCACTGACTGAATATGACGTCACAATAGAGAGGCGTAAATATTCAAGTTTACGACACTTTTTGTGATCAAGCAGCCACGGGTAGGGGAAAGCTATATATGCGGACTCCGGACCGTGGCTTGAGACGATGTGGTTAACTCGAAATCAATAAAGCATTGGAGCAGGCAGTGATAAAGAATATGTTCTGATAATCTTTTTCATTGCATCAAAATGATCGTTTACCTCCAATTAACTTTAATGCTAAAAAAACTATCAGTTTTAAGAATTGATCAGAATGTGCACATCCATTCAAAAGAAAGTTTTGAAGTTTTAAATTTTCTCTGTTTACATTATCATGTGCATATAACTTTAACTCTGGATAATAACTGTAAAAAAGTATCAAAAGAAAAGTGGGGTTCCGCCAAAACTTCAACCATGTATACCTCAAAAATATGCTCACCAACTAAACTTTTTTTAGTCTTTGTTTCCAAAATGCCAAATTCTTCGAAAAAATTGAAAATTTAAATCTAGTAACAAAAATTAACTCAGCAGAATCCATCCATAGGCTAAAGATATTTTCTCTTTTCACATTGATAAATACTTAAATCATGTTTTATATAGAAGTTGATAGCTTTCGATGATGGCTACACAGTGTATCATTCCATTCTTAATTATGCATTACATATTTGGCAACAATTTTATATTTGATTTTAATGTATGCAGGGGTTTCGACAGAAGAGGTAAAATTTCGCAATTGGCTTTTTCACAGATATTACAAACTTGCACTATAATTTCTGTATCTCAGGAATTTCTTTCAATCGATGGTATGTTTTTCGAACAACTTTTTTAAATCACGATATCAAGAAATTTTGAAATTTGCTACGTACGTGTATGTGTAATATTTTTTCTCACCTTGTGTGTTTGGTGATTTTACATAGTCTTTAGGCAACACACCTTTCTGGGTTGTCCCCAAAAGCTCACAGTGATCCTCACCAGAACCCTCCCCATCAGCAATGTTATAGTATTTGCCGGTTAATGTTTTGCTCAGAAACAGCTTGTACCTAATTGAAGACACCATGAAAAGATAATTTATTTTATCACTGCTTAACCTACTGTAGTTCCTGTATTTGATCGAATGGGACGTAAAACCACATACAATCAATCAATGAATCAATCTTGTATTTGATATTACGATTATATGTAGCAGTAAATTCTATCTTGATATTGAAAGGTCTTTTTCCAGTTTATACATAAATTGATAATGTATGTTTAAATGTTTTAAAAATAGAAAGGAAATACTGCAGAATGAAATCATAACACGAAAGACATAATATTTTTTTCCATATCAAATTATATCTAACAAAGAAATCTTAATCAATATACAATGTACATGTGCATGTATGTATTACAAAAATTCTTCTCATGGCATTTCTTATTTTCTAATTTCATGTGTATTGTCATATCTAATTTGAATAATTTACAAGGCAATTGAAAATTTTCTAGATCTTTCAAAAAATAAATTTTCGAGAAAAGTAATACATTTTTAGATATATGTATGATCCCTTTTTAAATAAAGTTTCGATAATTCAAGTATTTTAGATTTTCATATCAATATTTCATAATTAATTATTTATAAAATGTTTACAAAATAATTTAGTTTTGTCACTTTATAACCTTGAAATCCCGAAAATTCGAATTTTTTGATAACATAACTAAGACTTCAAAATGCCAATTATTTCAAATCTTAAATATTATTGAAACCGTTGATATTATATAGTTCTTCTTGCTTCAGTGAACTAAAAGATAAGTACAATCAGTGGACAATCATATATATAACTGCCATAAGAACCAATCTACCATTCGCGACACAACTTCTGATGCATGGAAATGGTTTTGAATCATAGTCCAAAATAAATGGTATAGAAATGTGTTTTCCAATCAGACCTATATTTTGGAAAGCAGCTACAGAATCAATAGAAGTATCCAGTAGGTAGTCTATTTTAAAAATTCTCAGTGTAATTTAGGATTTTTTGTGCTTTATGTATACTTTCGGCAAGAATCATTGACACACGATGCACAAGACAAAGCATTCATCTTAATAAGTAAACCAAACTTAATAATATTTAAGTTGTAATGATTTTTAGGGAGGTTAATTTGAATAAATCTTTACCGGACATTCATTATCATCAGATTAAATACGGACGGTATAAATACCTTGTAGATCTGCATGTCATCACACCGAGATAAGGAGCAGAGGAGTAGTTTGTCTTCTTTACGTACTGGCGGCCACCTTCACATCCAATCCAGCTATTGTCATAGTAAAAACTATACTGCAACCAACAGTGGCTTGATTCTAAGCAATCTAGATGAAAAGTTAAAATCATACATGAAATGTTCGTCTAATTAAAAAATAAGGCACAACAATGATTGTTCTTCCTTTATAATGAAAAAACAATTTAGGATTTATTTAGTTATTTTAAGGTGCTTCGTATATTCAAATATTTCACATTTTCAATATGGTAAAATAGTTATATAAAATGACACACAAACATAATGTTTAAACTGTTTTCTAAGAGGGATATACTGTAGAAGTACTTTTTCAGCGTGGTATAAATATAAGTGTAAGGCATATGCTGACAAGCTAGAAAACCCGCGTAAATATCTACCCGTTGATTAAAAAGAAATTAAGTTTTCACGGAATTATGACCCCGTGGAAAAGTACGTCTACAGTATCACTTTTTTATATTTTCCCCCCTCAAATCTGTACTTAGATTGGAAGCTTTTAAAAGCTAACAAAATTAGTGTTTGTTTGTAAAATCAAATCTCTGCAATATAATTTTAAACTTCAGTCTACTGCAATGTATAATACTTTTTTACTAATATTTAAAAATGTCTTTGTGTCTTTGAAATATATAAAAATATAATTGAATTCATTGTTTTGTAGTAATTTTGAGAAGAAGAGAGAAAAATATTTTCATGCGCCGTCGTTTCGCCAAAAATAAAGCCCCTACCAGATTTCAAACTCAGTTTCCAATTTTTATTGAAAATTGTATAATTATTAAGAGAAAAGAAAAAATTTATTTTTTTTATTTCGTGCCATCTTAAGATATAAAATAAAAGTATAAAACAAATATACTTTTAATATTTTATATACTCAGTCGTCAAAAACCCAGATAAAAGTCCCTCCATAAAATTCTGCTTCTTTATTTTTTATAAGAAACATAATTATCCACTAATTTGAAATAGAAAGAGCTTTGCTACTATACATTTGTCTAGACTGATAACATAACATCCTATGAAATAAATTGGATGTGATAAAAGTATCACAAACCTTGCTTTATTGAAGGGCCAATCAGGTTCGTGATCGAGGAAGTTATGTTTTGTTCAAAATCTTCCCTCATCCTCCAGATTTTTTCAAGTGTATATTCACTATGATTTGCTATCTTACGCTGTGTTTCATTAAGTATTCTTTTGTCTTCATTTTGCAGGTCACCAAGTCTAGCCTGAACTTTTTCTTGTTCGATGGATAGATCTTTCATTTTGTTTTCTGCAATGCAAAAGAATTTAGAAGAAGATATAATGAATTTCAAAATATGTTTCGAAAACAATATACATGTACATGTAACTAATGAGAAATGTACATTATCATTATTATAACTATGCATTACTTATATTTTCTTGCCATGTTTAAGTTAAGCATGTGTCTATCAGATATACCCGCATCGTTATTCTTTACAATTTTATCGTGTCCTATCGTGCGTGTATCCTATCGTATCGTGCGTGTATCCTATCGTATCGTGTTTTCCGTTTATCAGGTTTTGCGTTTTCTATCATGTTTTGCGTGTATCGTGTTTTCCGTTTATCGTGTAGATCGTTTATCAGGTTCTATCGAGTATCGTGTTTTGCGTTTATCGTGTACATTCGGAAACCCTCGCTTTTTATCTTTACTACAGAAAGAAACTACTGAGCTATTCCGATTTTTTTTTTTCGTTTTGTTAACTAAAATAAGATGACTTCAACCAAAAAGGAGAAAAGAAAGTTTTATCCCTTTCTTTTTCATCCTTAAAAGAAATATTAAAGCGTAGAAGGAAAATAATAAATAAATAGCGTATTTCATGAATAAATAAATTGATTAATTAATTAATAATTAAATAAATAAAATATTTATATCTTGGTGAAGTAGAAAGTGATTGTCAAAAATTAAACAGTAACTGTATTCTTCGGAATTGAAATTATAATAGATCACCGGTCTTTTTTAAGAATAATTTATTCAAAAAGCAAATAAATGAATAATAAGCAGGATATTGATATGTATCTTTTTTCATGCAATATTCTTTTTTCCCCTTATTTATCGTCTGATAATATAAGTAATATGTTTACGCCTTTAAGCTGCATTTATACAAAATTATTTAAAGTCATCATGTTACAAAAATAATAAAACATTAGACATTAATCCAGATGATTTTAACATCAATTTTGGCCGTATACGTTCAGATTTTAAATTAATGTATATAAGGAAAAACATTATGTTTTTTAACAACTTACCTTTTTCGGCGTGAAAATAAACTGAAAATATAATCCACCGGGGTGTCAAATCGAAGACCTTTACATACCAGAAAACTGACACGTATGTGTAGCTCTCTAATCCGCACACTGCCTTCCTGTGCGATCAACACCCCCTCCCCCTTCTCCCCTAACTGACACCTCGGCCCGTGTGTGTGATCATCGTCAACAAACCTTTACTGATTTCTCACCTGGGGTCAATTAGTAACCTCGAATACTACCTGGTTCTAATGAAACGCATCTATTTATGCTCGGAATTGTGTTCCTAACTTGTGTGAACAAACTTATCAAAGATATAAATTAAAATATATTAAATAATTGTACGATTTATGGATTAAAAAATTATCTCATTGCTTGAATTTTAAATAAAAATTCAAATAAATCAATTTAATGAAATGAAGTCCCTAAACTCAATCTGCTGATTTATTTCATTTTGTACAATGGTTCCATTATGCTTATGTAAATACGTCTTTTTATAAACTTAAAAAAAAACTGTACTTGTGGTACATGGACTTTCGGATCATCGGGTTTTCTATGTAACGGGGTCAAATTAATTCTAGGAAACAATTTCATTGATCGTAGAAACGGATAAAATACATGTAGTTCTAACATGCTAAACTATGAAAATTAGCTCGCATGATTTTTTTACGGTATCTTACTATAATAATAAAACAAAAGAAGTCGTCTGTGACCATGCAAGACAAGTAAATACACCGAATCAATTTATAGTATTAATCGATTTAATTCCATACATGTACGTATATAACTTTATTTAAGAGTTCAATATTATATTTGGCTATTTGGTTAGATCTTGTTTCTAATTTTAAATTGGTTACGGACTTTTAACATCCCGCCCTTCGAATATGCCTCATATGAGATTACCGGGTCTAAAATTATTTTCAGGGTTTAATAATTCATTTGCCGACTTAAACCTATTTTTTGTTATTATTAGAAACAGTACACACAAAGCTAAATAGAAATGACTTATAATTATTTAGTCGGAAAAGTCGCATTTCACTCTTTTAATATTTGTTGATTATTTTTTGTGTTTTGTGTATTTAACCATTCAATACTCTTTAATTAATAGGAAGTTTTCAGTATCTGATATATAAATGTTTACATGTACATAAGTGAGAGCTTAGCGTAAACGTACATGTACAAGTGCAGTTGTAGGAGATTCATATTCTGTTGACATAGTTTAAATGTATTAATGCAGAGCGCCATTATATTAACAATTATTTAGATTTCTATTCAGGAAATTAATTTTCTTGAACTATTATTAATAAGTTCTTGAAAGATCTATTATGTTAAATTTATTAATTTCATTAAAGCTGTTTCTTTGAACCTTTCTTTCGGCCGGTTTTCTACTTGTATTTTTTTTTCTAAGATTTTAATATTTAATTGCGACTTTTCGATACATCGCAGATTGTAATCTTTAGACATTAAATACAAATATTTAATTTATTGTGTAAATTTCTTCCGTGAAGTAAATTGGTACTTGTAGATAAACTTATCAGATAGAAAATTCAAATGTATATTTTTTCAAAAATAATAAGTATATTTATAGATTTTCAAAAATTTATAATAGTACCCGTGCGAAACGGTACATAATCATGTTAGGGATTTTTGTGCAACAATTACATGTAAATGTATGCTTAAATATCTATAATAAAACGATTCATGTTTCAACCTTAAGATGAGAATTTCGACCTTAACACTAAATCGTAAATTCACACAATTGAGAAGAAATAAAAAAAAAAATTACAGTCTCCATTTCATCCTAATTCATTTAATCATTGTAAATTTTTTTTATATAAATAAACAAATTTTGTAAAATTACCACAGAGATCTCAAGTTAGTTTATTATAATAATTAAATGTACTTCATAATTTAGATTTGAAGCTCTGCAAGTATTTAAATTAAAATATTGCAGTAAATAGACAAAATAATCTTTTCGTTTTGTCAGTACACGTTCCGCATTTTAAAACAATCCTATCAGGTTTTGCGTTTATCCTATCGTGAAGATCATTTATCAGGTCTATCGTGATTTGCGTTTATCGTGTTTTGCGTGTATCGTGTTTTGCGTTTATCGTGTTTTGCGTTTATCCGATCGTGCGTGTATCCTGTCCTATCGTGCGTGTATCTTATCGTATCGTGTATCCTGTAAAGAATAACGATGCGGGTACTGTAACTAATGAGAAATGTACATTATCATTATTATTACTATGCATTACTTATATTTTCTTGCCATGTTTAAGTTAAGCATGTGTCTATCAGATGTAATAGTACGAATCTTTCTTCAGTCATTGTGCTGAATTCAAATGAAATTATTTGAGATTTTTCTAAACAGTGTCTTTCATTCACACCACTCTAGTCTGATTAGATTGGCCGAAATATTGTTGTCTCTTAATCCCATGCCATTTAGTTTCAAATAATATTTAAACAAAGACATGAAGGCATCTTTCAATAAATAGTCCACTTCAAATGGCATTGAAAATTATATTTTAGATCTTGATTTCATCCTCTAAAATTTAATTACTCCAAAATAATATATAACAGCCAGGTCAAAATAAAAATTTATTATTTCCTGATGTAGTTTGAGTTTGGAAATTAGTAAATCGAAAAAGTAGTGATTTAATTTTTAATGCTGGTAATCTGAAACAGCTTGTTTAATAAACAGAAGCTTTGTGTATCATGAGCAGTGACCGGTGTTTATAAATTTACATACCTTGGATATCGTGCTTAGCATTGATTTCCTCGGTATAATTACGGAGAAGTCCTACAGAATAATGAACGTTAAGTAAGTCATTCTGTACGTTTACTATTCTTTCCGATGTTTCATTATGGTCAAATTTCATCTTCTGTTCTATTTCACTTAACATCTTTTTATATTCAAGCTGCGCCTTCGCTATCCTTTCAGATATGTCATTATGGTTAAATTTCATCTTCTGTTCTATTTCGCTAAAAATCTTCTCATATTCACGCTGGTAGATCATTATCCTTTCCGAGGTGTCGTTATGGTTAATTTTTATCTTCTGTTTTATTTCACTCAAATTTTTTTCATGCTCATGCTGCTCATTTATTATCATTTCAGATGTGTCGCTGAGGTTCTGTTTCATCTGTGCCATTTCATTCAACATCTTATTATCCTCATGCCGAAGATCATCGGTACTTTTTCTTATTTCTTCTTCGTTGGTTTTCATGGCTGCCATTTCATTTTTCACCTTTATCATGTCGTTAACCAGTGAATACACTTGTTTCAGTAATGATATCCTTATTAATGTTTCTTGGTTTATCTGGTTCTGCAGATTGTTGATGACTATATCATTTGGTTGGCACGATGATTTAACACTAATGCCATCTTCTGCCTTCTTTTCTGTCAGTGGCGAATGGGAATCTACCACGGCAAATAATGTCCACAGAATTGTACAATGCGAAAACATTATTGTTCAAAGCGGGATACCAAATGATAATAACTGAATTCTTTATACGATGAAAAGAAAACCTTTCAGGCCCAAGAGCAAAATGAAATGATTGGTACAAGTTGAAGATATTATGATGTGTAAAAAATAAAGGGGGATACTTTCAAATTGAAATTTATTAACAGGATTTCCCTCTTTAAAGTATTTTGCGTGAAAATAGAGGATTAAAGAGTTTTAGAACCTATCAGAGCAACTTAGATGCGAAAACACTTTGCTGCTTAAGTACTTTTACGTTATTTGTTATATACAAGACAACAGACGTAAAATTCATTAATTCAACGACTTTAAATATCAAGTACTATATCCTATCTCAGTTGTCGGATGGGCAAAAAAATGGAAATAATCTCTTCTTTAGAACGTGTGTGTTTAGCCTGGATTAAAAACATGTTAAAAGCAATCTGACAGATCTAAAGTGGCTCTTTTTCAATTACACTGGCTACAAATTAAATCTAAGATATTATTCAAAGCTAACTCACTCTGAATTAGCTGCTTTTATCGAAGGAAGTGCATATTTAAATGCTTTACCTAAATCTCAGTACTTATATAATAATAATAATGATCGTATTTACATAGCGCCTTTCTAGCATAAATGCTACTCAAAGCGCTTTACAATGCATTATTACCCCAGCAGACCTTAACAATCCAGAATCTTTCTCAGTGCAAGTTGCCGTTGTCAGCGCTAGAGCACTAACAATCTGACAATATCTTTCACTGTCTATAGCCAGGTACTCGTTTTACACTTGAGTGGAGTGAGGAAATTCGTGTAAAGTGCCTTTCCCAAGGACACAACGTCGGCTTGTCGCGGCCAGGATTCGAACTCACAACCTTTCGGTTTGGAGTCCGGCACCTTAACCATTGGACTACCTAGTGATTATCGTTCTTGTCAAATATTTTAGTTGATTATTCCCCTTTTTATAAAAACAACTGAGGGCGCTTTGGTTGCAACTTCCTTTTTCAATATTCCAGCATCATCTTGGGTCGGTAAAAATTTTCCAGCTTGTTATTGTGTATTATTAATTTGAAACAGCCACCCACTTCACCCATTTAGAATAGATACTGCTTTTCTGGTTTTTTAATGCTTTCAGACGAAGACTTACAGTGAATATCAAGTTCAACATGACAGGACATACGGGATGAAACCAGGACCTTAGGGAACAGCCATTGCCAAGGGGATTGAACCACTAGTATTTCTATGGACTCACATCATTCTGGACTTTCAAGACATTTAATGCGAAAGTGATGTGAGGAACAGTCATTTATATGGAAGTGATTCAATCCAAGAGCAAGCCATGCATCATTTCCAGGAGCCAATAATTTTCCTCTAACCGCAAACATTAAACAATAATGTGAATTTATAGAATCTGGTACGGCTGTCCGTTTCTTTCCAGCTGAGATGTGCGTAAACGAGCGGCACTAAGTAACGATCCTTATATGCAGTCATGTAACTCATGAAAGTTGAAAATGAAACTTTGGATTTAGATATACATAAATAAGTGCTTGACCTCTGCACCTCTCAGGGTCAAGGCTTTTACCACTTTCTGATATGGTGTTTGTGAACTTTGACTTTTGAACTTTGAACCTGAGTTTGAATATTTAATATGTAATATTTGCTTTGTTGTGTTGCCAGAGACAGTAATAGCTTGTCATAATTTGTGTCTCTGGATAAACAGCCGTGCCCAATTTTCGCCACAATAATATTTATTAAATACATACTTGATGTTTTTTATATGCACTTATCTGAGATAAATCTGATTTAATGTAAAATTTTAAACCACACGAAAATTTGTGATTTCACAGTAATAAATCAGTTAAGGAATAGGTACTCAGGAAAAATCAAGTTTATGGTTCCTCTGGGTAGAAAACTAATTTCTTCGCCGCCTCGGGGAATAGTTTCCTCCCATGGAGAACCATGCACTTGCTATGTCCCGAATAAACATAACTGTATAGTTATTTCCATTCATATGTCGACTCGATATGTCCCAGTGAGCTCTAAATAAAACACTTAACAGAGTTCCTCATATCTGTTTCATATTTTGGATGTTTGATTGACTATGAACTACATGTATAAGGGCTAACTAACAACTAAGTTGTATGTCAAACAAAATTTCAGCTTTTTTCATCAACGTTATCTATTTTTTGTTGTAATATTTAGCTATCACCTACATATGAAGTTTATGCTTACTAACTTACTCGATGCACAAGAGCATGTTCTGAGTATGATCAATTTTTAAACCGATGCAGGCTACTTGCACATAAGTTGATGTTACAGGGAATACAACAATCTCGTTTTAAGTCGCTATTCTATTGTCGTACACGTTCCGCTATAACATATATATATATATATATATATATATATATATATATATATATATATATATATATATATATATATATATATATATATATATATATATATATTTGTTACACCTTTCTGTTTACATATTGTTTTCTCCAATTCCAAGTCAACAGTGTTTACCTTATATAGAGGTATATAGAGGATATATAGTTGCTCACTGGGACATATCGAGTCGACATATGAATGGAAATAACTATACAGTTATGGGTATTCGGGACATAGCAATTTCATGGTTCTCCATTGGACATGTACGACAATAGTATATATAGTTAGCATATATAACCTATCATGGGTTTTGGTTGACGTTTTTCTTAACAATCATTATAAGGTTTTGTTTTTATACTGAATTTAAGTACGGAATAATCCGTCTTCCTGATAAATACTCACGGCGGGTGTGACCGGTCGGCAGAGGATGCTTTCTCCTCCTAAACACCTGAGGCCTGTTCAACAGAATCAGCGCTAACGAACGTTTCTGTAGGAGGTATAAGGAATGTTGGCGAGCATTCGCAAACGTTCTCTCAGTTGAACAGGATTGCGGTAGATGATTGTTTGGTAACCATCGTAATTGTCTGAAAATTCTCATGAATTACTATTTAGCCCTTTTGAATTTCTATTAACGTACGTAAAGAAGTGGTAAACACTGTTGACTTGGAATTGGAGAAAACAACATGTAAACAGAAAGGTGTAACAAGTAAATAATCATAAACTAAATTTCCAGTTTAGTGGAAATGCTCTTTACATTGGACATGAAATAGCCGAAGACAATAGTTGCAGGCTGTAAATCTTTAGTATATCTATTTATCGAGCATAATATGCTTTACATGTACAAACTGTACAAACACGTCGTGCGTTTAGAGGGTCAGTCTATTGCTATACTCAGTAGTAAGGTCAGATGACACGTTCCTGAAAATATATATAATTTTCCCCAAGAATTTGTCATTGAAATCTAGGAACTTATTCAAGTTTCTTCACAAAAATTAGGGTATCTTACCAGGCATATGGGTAATCATCTGAATGGTCTATATTACAATTTTTGATATACTTATAAAGTTATAATATTTAATAACATATTGAAAACAATGTAGAAATCACAAGACAATGACAAATATGCATAACTTTATATAGGACAAATGTCACAAACTTTATATATTATCTTTGTGACATTTGTCCTAATGTTTGAGGGATATAGCTATGTTGACGCTGTGCTCACTAATGCCAACACTTCCTTGAATTTAACTACTGATAGAGTGGGTGATCTGAACAAAATTTTAATCAATCAGGATTTGACTCAGAGGCTACAACTCGTGCGAAATGTCATGTAAGTTATGAACGATGTTCAAAAATTAAAGAATGAGGTTCAGTGCCTGGAAACGAAAAATTCCCATCTCAAGGCAGAAATTGATTACAAAACTAACAGTAAGTATTAGCACATCGTTTTAAAATTGAAAGAAAGGCATTTTTTCAAACATAGGAAGAATGTATAAATATTCAAATAAAGGATTGGAATTTTTAAAAAATGGTGAAGGTCAAACATCAGAAAATTCCTTTATCAAACGAGAATGTGTAAATCATTTTATCAACACAAAAGAATGAAAGAACTAATATCTGATTAGTTCATTATGCAAGTAGAAACAAGTTTGATTTGTGTTAATAGCATATACTTTAATCTATAAAATATAACGGCAATAACGAACAGTTTTCAAGCTTAAAAGTCCATTAAGGAAGGATTCTTTTCTGGTTTCTGACTAGATGAAATATTTAAAGTATGTTTGCTTTTATGTCTTTATATCAAAGGTGTAAGAGATTTAAAGAGCATATTTTTCTTTTCTCACAAAAAAATTGTACAAATTTACATGGAAATGGTAAACTGCGTTTCAAAACCAGAAGGTATTATATTTTTTGCGGAATGGTGGCATATGAAAATATTTTCTTTTCTGCATCTCAAAATTTTCATAGAGCAAAGAATTAAGTTATCATTTTACACAATCAAAGACTTGAAGAGATTTTCAAATCTAAGTTAAATTGATAATGAGTGAAGTTTTCAAATATATCAAATAAATAGAGGATATATCTATATTGTGTGATTTGATATTGGTTTTATCCAACGAGTTGAAATGGTGTATATATTCGCGAGGCTTGCCGAGCGAATATATACCATTTCAACGAGCTGGATAAAGCCAATATCAAATCACACAATTATAGATGTTCTTTTTATCTCATACGACTTTCGTTTAAACATAACTTTGAGACTTTCCCTGCCAAAATACATGAATGATTGCTAATTCAAATCGTACGTGAAAATAAGAAAAACTTAAACGTAGGAAGCGTGCACTTATAACTAATACCGGTATATTCAAATATTTACAAAAAGTAGAGAAACATCGGATTAGTCATTATTCATTTAAGTTAAATTATTCATGTCAACTAGGTAAAATAATCTTCTAGGCTCTAAATGGTACAAAAGAAAAAAATCAATCATTTGAAATACATGTAGGGATCGCACGATTGGCGACAGTATTTTTTTTTATTATGTCCAGCGAAAAAGTTATGACCTTGAATTGACCTTGCCTCTAATATAAAACGGTCAAATTAATCTCACTGATACCATCACTAAGTGATGTTGTCTTGTGTTTGATGTTGTGGGAGCAGGTGCCATGGAGGATTGAGTATCCCCTGCAGACTGATTACACCTGCCATGTGCCAAAATCGTGGACAATTCGATGCGTATAATATGGCTAGAACTTACTAATTAATTAACATCTGAACATGAAGATTAATTCAAGATTTTATATTTAAGTCATAAAAATTTTAAAAATATTGATATTGATTGGTCGTATGCATTTTAACACCTAACTCGAGATTTTTTTTTCGACTCATTTGGAGACATCACTAGTACTGTGACCCATGACTTTCATTTTTAATGCTGGGCGCTTGGCGAGGGAAGAGTCAAGCTATCTAATATGCTTATGTTAAGTCTTGGCGTGGTGCACCTAATGCGAATAGAATCGAGGGATCTGTTTTGCAACAGAACTTACAACTAAGACCAAAATTCAAATGTATCTGCTTCATATAGCTTACTACTTTACATTAAAGTAAAAATCGTTTTTATTTTTTTTAAATGAATGCAGCAGTATATTTTTATGCTAGCGCTTTTGAAATCAACTTTGCAAATTTTAACAATCAGCTTTAGTTTTTGGTCCAGTTTTTAAAGAAATGTGATTAAACAAAGAGTGAAAGTACATTGTGTTTTAATGACTCATGTATACAGTAACTTTTAAAACCGGAAAACCGGTGATCTAAACGTATTAAGGAATTCAAATCAAATACCCTATACACAGATGTAAACAGAACTAAGATACGAAAGCCCAGAAGGCTCATTCGAGATTCGAAATACGAGATTCGAAATTCGAAATACGAGATTCGAGTTTCGAGATTCAAGATCCAAAATAACCAATCAAAAGGCGGTTTGAGATTCAATTACTCCCCTTTATTATTTTTTACTACCAAGAAATCGTTGAGTATTCTAATACCGAGGAGGTCATTTGATTAAATTACAACGCAAGAAAAAGTGTTATATATTATCAAAACGAAATTTAAAGAAATATTAGTTTTTGGTCTGCAAGATATGCTTAATTAATTTATAATAGCTTCTAAAATGTCATAAGAGATTTATATAACGAATATATATATTTCGTGTTATCTACTTTGAATACAGGGTTGTTGACATAATAGTAAACTTAAAATAGATTAAAAGTACATACATCCCCCCTTTTTTTCAACCATATTTTTTTACTATTGAAAATGTTCATCGAAAGGTCGGTTGCGAACAAGCCCCCCCCCCCTCCACGTTTTGGTACAGTGGTGCAGTATAGTCAAAGAAGTTTTAGTAGTAGTAGAAATTAGGTACTAAATGAAGTTCGATATCCCCCCCCCGCCCCCTTTCACGCCACGAAATAGGATTTTCGGATTTGGACAAATTTTTTCTGTCAGTTTTTATTTTCAGGTTTAAAATAATATTTTTGTCTGCCCCCCCCCCTCCCCCCCCCCACAGTCAAAATCGATGCGTCGTCTCTGTAATAATTAGTACTACGGGTTTCAAGGTGGATAGTGTTTGTGACACGGTATTAGAAAGTGGCCAGTGACCAAGTTTATGAAACCAATAGACAGCCCCTTAAATACGGATGGCTGAAACATGCATGCTTATTTACGATAATGACCCATTGGGAATAATAAATTCTAAAAAAAAAAAAAAATCCCCCTATCCCCACCCAACCTCGAAAAATAAGGATTATCATGGTAATTGGAATTTATTTTTGAATTTACATAAGCATAAAGTTACTGTTTTCTATAGTATATCATATCGGAAAAATATTTCGGGAATGGCCAAGTGGGAGGGGGGGGGGACAAATGTGTGGTTACCAACATTCATTGTCAATCTTGCGATGCATAGATACAATAAATATGTACTATTATTCGATAATTATTTAAAAGGAAACCGCTCGGGTCTTACCCGACTTGGTCAAAGACTCAAATATACTAGTACAACCATAATGCTCATTTCATTGAGGGGGGGGGGGGCACAGCCATACATTTATAGTTTTCAACTACCAAAAATTTCTTGACAACCAAAAACAAAGCACAGAAAGTCATCAAATGTTTTACTGAGGGGGCACAAGCATATATTAGTTATGATTTCTATAGTATTTTATATATCGGCAAAATTATGGGGGGGGGGGGGTGCAATGTAAAGAAATGTACCCTCATTAGTCTTTCATATAAATAATAATTTTCTCTCTCATCAATGTTCTTATTAAAAATAAATGTCGACTTAAGAATTCCTCAATTAAACGATAAGACCTTGATTGTAATATTCTATATACGTATCTATTGTTTTGTTTAATGAGGAAAAATAAGAATTTATATATATTTTCTAAAATGTAACCTAAAATTCCTCTATATTTCGTTTTAATACATATATCTTTTTTTCTTGCATTATCATTTAAGCAAATGACCCATTTGATATGAATATATTCAACGATTTCTTGATAGTAAAACATAATAAAGGGGAGTAATCAAAATTGAACCTGCCTTTTGATTGGTTAATTTGGATCTTGAATCTCGAAACTCGAATGTCGAATCTCGTATTTCGAATCTCGAATGAGCCTTCTGGGCTTTCGTACTAAGACGATAAAACTGTAGCATGCGATTCTTAACCAAGCGCTCGGCACTTTGAAATGAAATATGCGGGTCTTAGGGATGAAACCTTAAAAACCCAGACTCCATGTCACAGTAGACGTTGGCATGATATAGATCCCTCGCTAGCTTAATAGTCCTGAGTGACGATTAAAGATTTACATTTGAAGCCCTTTATCGGTTCAAAAGGTCATGTCTCTATATATTTCTGTTCCCAATGTCTTCGTCATTTATAGGGTTCATAAGTTGTTTTATGCTAAATTAATATAATAACCATATGAAAATATACTAATATATGAATTAAATACCCCCGATTTAATATTTCAGGTTGCACACGAACACTGGAGTGCCTGAATCAGAAACCACATGTTGCCTTTTATGCGTACTATTCTGACAATTTCAAAGGTCTGCCCATTGGAACGACTTTAGTCTTTAATTCAGTGGAGACAAACCTTGGCAGTGGCTACAATAAAAGAACCGGGATATTCACTACCCCAACTTCCGGTGTCTATGCCTTCACTTGGACCTTGCACGCAGCGGGAAAGCATATCGCTGGATCATCTGGGAGCAACTATGGTGAAATGAACACGGCGATAAAACTAAATGGGGTCACAAAAGGTGTGATTGTTGCTGATACTGAAACACAGTACGATAATGGTGCTGGCACCGGGTTTGTTGTTTTGAATCTCAATGCTGGAGACGAAATAAAAATTGTGTCTGATAGGTATGGCGGCCAAGGATCCATGTACAGCTCCGATCAAAATGGCCGAACATCATTCTCAGGATTTCAGATTACATAATTTTTCTCTAACCATTATTTTCATTAAGTTAGGTATTCATCACTGTGGATATTGATTACTCAATTTGATTGAAGCATTAACCACTTCTTTTCATTTCTTTGATTAAAAAAAATCAAATAATTCTGTTATGTTTTTAAATATTTTTTTCAACTAGACATGAAACCAAATACGCATGGTTTAAGGTGCATATGCATATGTTTTGCGAATGAATTGGTCAGATATTCAAAAGACTTTAATCTTTTTTAAGCTTTTTACGAAAAGCAAAGTAATATCTATTTTTAAAGGATTTTAATTTGTTGAGCCAAAAACGATATTGCACATAGTGTATCTGTTTTTGAGTTGTCCAGCATAGTTTCGACAAAGATACCAAAATTTATGTTTACCCGCACTGCGGATTCAATCGGATCACGCTCGCCCTTTTCCGTAACCGATAAAATGTTACGGAAATAGCCGACTAGTTACGCCTATTGACTGCAGATTATGATTTGTCATCTGCTAAATTATTCTGATGTAATACCGCCACGACAGCTCAAGTCGGTAGAGCGCTCCGAGTTAGAATTGTTTTTACTATTGAATGTATATTATAAATGCATGTTGTAGCAGTTCAACTGAATACAATATTTAAGAATAAAATCTTAAAACAAATTAAGATTGATCACAACGAAATGACATGATCTGCCAAAGGCAAAACAGACATTTTTCCTAAATTAAAATCACAAGTCTATGCTGTGAATCAGAATTTTAGGAAAAACAGATACTACATTTTATAAATGTATAAATTTGTAATACAATATAAATGTTTTGATTAGTACTGTATTTAAAGAAATTGCAATAACGTTTACGAGAACATCTATATGCAATAACTATCATTTAGGAATGATTTCTTTGAAAAAAGGTGAAATTTATTGTGGAGAGTCAAATCGAAGAGCAAATAACACTTTTGAGGAGTATATCGACCAAACCAAAAATAATTAGACTACAAACACTTCAACTAAAGGGTTTGTTTATTTTCCTATCGAGCATTTCCTAAATTACTTTGTTTAATTGCTTGAAACCAATACTGTGTAGGGGGAAAATAACTCGCAGTGTTAATATTCGCTATATTCACGGTGTTAAAAATCCGTGAATTCAAGAAACAGTGAAATTTTTTTTTTGTAATCTCCAGGTTTTTTTTTTTGGAAATTTGAGAATAGACAATGATAGGGCTACAAACATGCACGCGCAGTTAATGGTCATTTCGTCCGGTAATTACGAGTAGTACTCGTCATTTAATTAATCTAATTACCACGTTTTACATAAATTCAAATCAGCAGATAATAACCTGAATTTGTTAGACAAGCTGATGTTTCATTAATCAAAACAGGTGGGTCATGGGTTTTGATTATCCGTGCGTTAATAATGTTACCATGTGTATTTGTTACTGCATAATTATGCATGCATATGAATTTTTATCGACATTTTCGTTTTAAAACATCATTCAAAAAACTAGAGAACTTACTGAAGATGTGGAATGATATTTCGTCGACCTTTTCCAACATTAACACATTTATTACCGTCCAGTGCTTTTTCGCAGCGTTGTATCGAAAACACACTATTATTACATTTAGGAAAGATATTTGATGTTAAGAGTCAAAGAAATTTTGATAACTGCGCTTGTTTTAATTAATCTTCAATCATTTTTTTAAAATATCAAATCTAATTATTTTATTTAAACCTACCCCGTTGTTCGTGAAATTAAGACATAACTCTGATTAATATCGTATGGATTAAACGGATATAGACAAGGGAGGTAACTTTTATTATGTACAAATTCCGCGAATTCAAGAAACCGCGATCGTGTCAGATGAGAGAAAAACGTGATAATTACAACCCGTGAAATTAATTCCCTATACAGTAATCTAATTGTTTTGTTTTTTTCTTTCTTCACCTGTTCATACCATTTGGACATGCTAACAAACCAGAAATTGTTATTGGTGATCCTTGCTTTGAAAGTCCTTGCTCTTCTGACGTTCTAGTTTTTGTACAGAATAAAAGTTTACCAAAATTCCACAACTTAGACAAATGAGTTTGTCTCGTTTAAAGAACAGTAGGGCCTTTTCCGGGTGTTTGATCATATTCTAAGTAAAACAGAAGTGGGCAAGGGAAGGTCTTGGACATTAAAGTAGGATGTGATGGTCTTCCCTACACTCTAGGATGTTGAACAATTGACATTGTCATATCTTTATGCAAAGATTTAAAATATTTTTTTATAGTCTATTTTAATCCGATGTTTATTTTAATCAGATAACCACAAAAGCAATTTTTTAAAAATATTTTTCATGGTGTCGCTGAAGAGGTCCTCCTGCTGTTTGCCAGAATAAAGTTTAAGAGAAATAAAAGACAAATAAAAGGACAAAATATGTAATGAATCCCAATTATAAATTCATGGTTGGTTCCGTGTTCAATTTATGCCCTCGCTTTATGTGTTCAGGGCTGGTTTGAGGAGGTAAAACACCTCTAGATCTGCAATCAGAACAGCACTTTTTCAATTCGCCTCGTAATTTTTTAGATTCTCCATGCCATTTTATATGGAGACTTTTATTAGAGATGTTTTTTTTCGCATCAAGCGTACTCCTGAAATTAGAAATTTCAATGAGAATAATAAATCGTTTAGTATATCAGGAAACTATCCAAAAGGCGTGGGAGGTGATTTTATTTTGGAATAAAAAAAAACAGATTGACTAGAATATGGATGTTAGGTCTTCCTGGCGAGAAGACGTGGCTTCATGTTTTGAGGAATATTAACCATGTTAACAGACTGGAAATATATATATATATATATATATATATATATATATATATATATATATATATATATATATATATATATATATATATATATATATATATATTACCCGCATCGTTATTCTTGACAGGATACACGATACGATAGGATACACGCACTATAGGACAGGATACACGCACGATAGGACAGGATACACGCACGATAGGACAGGCTACATGCATGATAGGATAAATGCAAAACACGATAAACGCAAAACACGATAAAGGCAAAACACGATAGACCTGATACACGATCTTCACGATAGGATAAACGCAAAACCTGATTGTTTCAAAATGCGGAACTTTTTCTGACAAGACGAAACGATTATTTTGTTTAGTTACTGCAATATTTTAATTTAAATACTTGCAAAGCTTCAAATATAAATTATAAAGTACATTTAATTATCATATTTAAAAAAAATTGAGATCACTGGTAATTTTACAAAAGTCCTTCATTTGTGTCTATTTTTTGGACAATGATTAAATGGATTATTATGAATTTTTTGTTAATTTCTACTCAAGGGCATGGATTTACGATTATTTGTGTACATGTTGAAATTATCATTCAAGGTTGAACTATGACTCCTTTAATTATGGATATTTTCACATACATGTAATTGTTGCACAAAAATCCCTTATATACATTTAATTATATGCCGTTTCTCACGGGTACTATTATAAATTTATGAAATTCTATAAATAGAATTATTATTTTGAAAAAATATTCACATTTGTGCCCAATAAATTTATCTACAAGTACTAAATTATTTCATGGAAGAAATGTACGCAATAAATTAAATATATGTATTTTTAAAATGTCTAACGCTTACAATCTGTGTTGTATCCGAAAATCGATATCAAACTAGGAGACTTATTGTTCACAGAACAATAAGAGGTCTTTCCACCTTCTTTGAATTTCAATTTCATGTAATATTTATCTCTTTAAAATTAAATTTCATCAAAAAGAAACCAGGAATGGCTTAAAAGAAGAAAAAATGCAAAAAAATTCAAAATTTGGAGGTGACCTTGACCTTTGACCTCTAAGTTATTTTCAAGGTCAAAAGTCAAGGGTCACATTGTAATTAACCGCAGGTATCTATGACGTATAGTTTTAAAGTTATAAGGTTTCATGGTAAGCACAAAAGAATTAAAGGGAAGTAACTCATTCAAGGAGTCACCAGATCCTTTCTCACTTGAACATAAAAGTTGTGCCTAAAGTCCCTTAAGACATAAGTGAAGGTTTCATGTCTTTACGATTTACTTTTTCGGAGCAATAGCAATTACAAGGTTTTTCGCAAAAGGGGCAATAACTTTTAATAGGGTCCATCTTAAGGGACAAGAATGAAATCTTTGAAATAGGTTTAAGAGTACATATTAATGATGCAAAGTTATTAAGTATATATTAAAAGACAAAAAAATATAAAAAGAGCTTAATTTCTCAATTTTTGAATGACCTTGACCTTTGACCTTTACATGAATTTTATGAGCAAAGGTTAATGAATCTTATGCAGTTAGTCCCATATCTTTACTACTTCTCATTTTGAAAATTTTTAATTATTTGTACAATTCAAAGATTTTCAGGGGCAATAACTCATTGAAGGGGTCACCGAATATTTTCGCAATGAATAGATTCCAGAGTCTTCTAAAGGAGTCGAAAACATAAGTGAAGGTTTTATGTCTCTGCGGTTTACGGTTTCGAAGTAGTAGCAATAACAAGGTTTTTCGCACAAAGGGCAATAACTTTTAATAGGGTCAATTTTAAGGGATACGAATAAAATCTTTAAAATAGTTTTAAAAGTGCATAATAATGATGCTTAGACAGTTTGTATATGTTAAAAGACAAAAAAAGATATAAAAAGAGCTTAATTTCTCAATTTTGGAATGACCTTGACCTTTGACCTTTACATGAATTTTAAGATGAAATGTCAATGAATCTAATGCAGTTAGTCCCATGTTGCTACGACTTCTCGTTTTGAAATTATTTCATTATTTTTAAAATTCAAAAACTTTCAGGGGCTATAACTCATTGAAGGGGTCACCGAATACTTTCGCAATGAATAGATTCCAGAGTCCTCTCAATTAGTCGAAGACTTTAGTGAGGGTTTCATATTTCTATGGTTTACGGTTTCGAAGGAGTAGCGATAACAAGCATTTCTTGCGAAAGGGGCAATAACTTCGAAAGCGGTCATAGTTCATACGCGTTGGGTCAAATTTGTTCATAACTTTTAATGACCTTTATGATGAACAAAAAGTCTTTTCGATA